GGAAAAGCAGTGCCCCTTGCTGATATAAATAAAGGGCCTCTAAATATTCTCCCTGACTCCAGATAGTCTGGTGGTCTGTAGCACTGCCCAGTCCCGTGGATTCAAATTTAACAGCATGATACTAGAGCAGCGCACAGTCATGCCAGCCATCTGTGGACATGGTGTGTGTGTCTGCCGGGGGAAATGTAATGTAGGCAAGACGGAGCATGAGCCTTTCCCAGTAAAAGGTTGGTGCGTTCCCTTCCCAATGGGTCCCCCTGCCAGGCAGTGTTTGTGAAGTATCCGGTGTCGGCCGCCCCCCCTGCATTTAGCAGGTTGTCAAGTACCAAAGTCTCCTCTTTACCTAATTAGCCAGTCCATTTACTTTTACAGATCTAAATTTGCTTTCGTAAATCCAGATTTTATTTTCTGACTTAAAATAGAAAAAATACAGTTTCGAGTATATTAATTTCACTTGAGCCCTGATATACAAAATCCTTTGTGCATAAATAAGTGTCACTTCACACATCTCTCTGGTATAAGTCTAAAACACTTCACACCTTCGTTTACATTCTGATCGTGTCTGCCTTGAACGCATCAACAATAGGATTCACACCAATAAGTATATCAAAATTCAGCAACATGTCGTGAGCACATGTACAAAATACTAAACCATGTGTATAACGTTTTTTGAAAAACACGTAGTGAATTTCCTCAGTAAATATGGCTAAATGAGCTTTGTACTCACAAATGACTTTCATTTTACAGCAGCAGTACAAATGGTTACCTCTTACCTACATCAGCCCAACAATGTTTATTATCCACTACATAAAAACAAAAGAGAAAAATAAACAGCCAGAACTGAAAATATAAGAAACATGTAACATCCTTTGTTAATTTCAGCAGTAGAGAAACAGGCTACCAAGATCATTTTTTTTAAATGTTGCAAGAGAAGAAAGATGAAGCCAATGAACTACTGTATGAAGTTGAATGTGTGTATTATGATGCAGCTGGGTGTGGTGTTAAAAACATTTCCACAATGGAAACTTATGAAAACGCCAGGTCTACCGTTCTTATCTTCGGTGGCCTCGTAACTCTGTATACCTCATCTCACGAGTTAATGAACAACCAGTCGTCACCACATTACACGAGGAAGGGGAAATACACATTTCGGAGGTATTAACTTGAGCATGACTGTACATGGCATTGGATCTGCATTGATTAGTCTATCAGGATAAACAAAAATCCTCCATTTTCTTTAAACAACTAAAGACTGTCCAGCTGCAACTACTTTTGTGCAGCTGCCAGTGGTTGTGGTGGTGGGATGCATTTCCTAATTGAAGCTGGGAATAATTCAGATTCCTTCACAAGTGATAACATGTGGTCTAGAGAAGTAACTTGTGGGAACACAGACCTTCACTTTTGGGCTGTTTTCTTTTTATAAACGGCAAAAGAGCCAGCAGTCAAAAAATAATAAAAAAAGGTCCCCCTCGAGAGTAAATTAATATGTGTTGGTTATAAATTATACTTCAGCACAACTAGCATGCCACCAGACTCGGTGTTACCGCCCCCCGCTGTGACAGTAAATCGTTTCACGTGTGGAAAACCAGGCCTTCCTCCTTTTACAGCCTAGACTCAACTTTGTCGTAATAATCAAGCATAGTCTCTGCAGCTGTGGCATTTTCACGAGTTCCCCTTTAAACTGAAGTAAACATCATTCATTTTGAACATAAAAAAGGGTATATATGTAAAATAAATAACAGTGAGGACAGGCCACAACACACTTTCAGTCAGCAACATAAGTGTACAATTACCCTTTATCTCTCAATTAATCCCATAAACCAACCATCTGCCTCAGAGCTAAAATACTGTGCTCCTCCTAATAATATATAACACTAACCCATCAAGAATATGAAAAATAAAATGGCAATAAGAGCAATAATAATCTCCATTTAGATGTGTCATTCACCTTCCTCATTACAGGTCCTTGCAAAAATAAATGTTTTCCCCATCTTAACAAACTCACAGATATGATTACTTTGTTTGATTTTTTTACGTAAGTAAGTAAAATCCCCCCTCTGTGCAATAACGTTTTTTCTAACTTGCCAGAAGTTGAATTATTTCTTGCTCTGTACAACGTTTGTTCAGTCTTAAATTCCACCAGAATTTCAATGCACATGACTTAGTGTGTGTATCGAGAACACAGTGTTACTCTATTCTCGATATCAGACATTGTTTCTATCCCTTTGACATTACTTTTTATTATACATGTCTTTATTTCCTCTCATTCCCTTTGCCAACTTATAAATAGCTTCAGCTTATTTTACAGTTATTGTTTTTCAGACGTGTGCACTAGCCCCTGAACAGGATGGTTAATCGTCAGACGCTCCAATAACATTAGCTGAGTATCTCTTCAGAAGTTTAGGTTTCACAAGCTGCTGTCCACCTGTTGGAAAGTAGTTTGTCTTTGCCGAGCCAAGATGGATATCACTGAGCTTGCTCCAGAGATGCCCAAACATGTGTCTGTAGCTGTTTGCCACATTCATGCAGTACGTGGTCAGCACTGCTTAATGCCACATGCTAAACTGAGTTGCATTTAGTGTCACCTGAACCTTCAGGGATGCTCCGAACGCACATTTATCTATGGCTATGTTTTTTTTTATCTCAGGCAGTTTTGTCCTCTGTTGAAAACTATAGCCTATGGTTGAAAGCATACACTTCCTCTTTGGCCTCACCTCACCACATCCAAAAGTTTCGAAGGAAAAACAAGTTAGTTGATATATAAATGACCTACTTAATTTTTAAACCCAATAGGGACCGTAATTGTTTTATGCATTACGGTATTAAAAACTGACTTAAGTTGACACACAGATAAGATGTCCAATTTGTCTCTCGTTGTTTGTATAGTTCAGTTTTCTCCTATATGAGTAAGAAACTATAAAAGGCAGTGTATTAATATATATTGTTAAGATTTCTGAGAGCTTAAGAACTAGCTGATGAATGTTACATGGGCTTTGGGGTTAAGTGTAAGACATTGTGGTTTTATTGAACGTGGGATATGAAAGCATATCTCATCACTCCTGACAACTGATGTGAATGTGACATTAAATGTTATCCTGCTAGATGTCGTACTTATATATTGACTTAAATGAGATGTCAGATACAATTCCATAATATAAGATGACACAGACATAATGTAGCAAAAGGCCCTGACATGCATGATAAAACGGATACAACCCATTAAAAGGAAGGATTTATTTTTTTTAAATTGAAAATATATATATATAGTTTAAATAATTAAAAACCAAGGATTTAATAAGACACAAAGCAGTTAAATGTGTCAGAATAAAAATCGAATAATTAAGACTAACAGTTTGGACCTACAAACCAGACCACTACATGTAGAGGATATATTCAAACGAGTTTTAGGGGTCATTGCCTGTGTGCATGAAGCGTGTATCTTTTAACCCGCACTTAACTGCTTCCCTTGGCCGCTCTATTAGACATGCAAGGGCAGGACCAAGGAGGCCTCCATCTATATTTGTTCACGTAAACACCCTATACTGCTGTTAGACAGTTTGACCTGCCGCGGGTGTTAATTTGGTCGCAAAGTGACCTCCCTAGTGCAGTGTGTGTTTGCCTTCAGCCTTTGCCTTCAAGACTGTAGCGGCTGTGATAAAGGCATGCTGTGAATGTGTGAAGTGTTCAAAGAAAAGTCAGTTTGTCTGACAAATGCCACAGTATTTTAGGTCGAGTCTCTCTAGCAATAACACAGTGCAGCCGTTCATTGTAGGCTGATAAACACACTCCTATCTAGGCTACATACTAAATATAACATGAAATAGATCAAGTCAAATGACTCCCTTGAAGATAGTAGAGTGTTTTGTTTAAACTAAAGAGTAAAGATAGTTAGAGGCGAAAAAGGAAATAGATGTGGCAGAAAGACCAAATAGCTTATAGTGCTCCATTCATAACGTTGACATTCAAATTCTAAGGAGGCTCTCATATCAGGGACTCTGAGGACACTTAATCCCAAAATCCAGTTTGTATCATTGTTAAAACTGTGTACTGTACCTTTGCACGACCGTCTATTCATTCATGCCTCATTTATTCTCAGGGTCACTTCCTACACCAAAACGTTTTTTTAAAGTGTTAAAAGTGTTTTGCTACTTAAAGTGTCACATCATCACTATTCGATTGTCATTCAGCATTTCTCAGCGGAGCCCATCTATATTTTCTATGAATTTTCTCAGCATGGACTGATCTTAGTCCATGCTGAGCACATGGAGAAGCAACGGGGGATGAAGTGGGGAGGCAGAGAAGAGTTCTGTCCTTGTGGTCTTCCAAATAGAAACCATAGACATAATGTAAAGGTCGTCTCCATTGTATTGCCTTGGGTTTTTGTGGTTGCCACCATTTTCAACATTGACGACATAAACACAAAAATGCTCGTTGCCATGGAAGTGAAGACCGTATAGCATCTACTGTATGGCAAATGTGCCCCAATGTGCAGGCTTTTTAAAAATAAGTCTATTCATTGTGTTTAAACCTTTATATATACAGTCTATGGTTTAAACCCTTTATTTCTGAACAGTTGCAGATAAAGACTAGGCCAGGTTTTATTGTTAGTGTTTATAATATTTGTAAAATTGTTTTCCAGTGGTGTCTGTGAAGGATTGTCGTTTGGGTTGTAAATTCCAAATGTATTGAAAGAATATAAATACAATCATTTCTAAAATACCGATGTATTTCTACATTATCTGCGTGTGCCATTCAGCCTTTCCAAAAATGTTTGTGCTTGCCCCACAGGAAGTGATCAAGCACCTGTAATTACGGGGGTCTAACAACAATTCAATATGACATTACACCATTCTCTTTCAGCCCTTAGGAACATGTCCAATGTGAAGAAGAACTTCTAACTTCACATTAAGGACATTGTGTGTGAATTCTTTGTGCGTGCATGTGTAATATTGTCCTGATGCTGACGCCTTGTGTGATCCCTCTCTTTGTCTCTCTGTCAGACACGTGATGACTTCCTGGGACAGGTGGACGTCCCCTTAAATCAGATACCGGTGAGTCCTTGGTTGAAGGATGTTCTTTGAATATTTACGCCTGTGACTTGTTTGACTTCCCCTTAGTTAGAGATCATTTCGTTTTTAATTGAAGCTTTTGCTGCTCACGCTCTTGAACTCTCTCTCTCACCCATGTCACCATGTAAATATAAACACGCTCGCCCTTATTCTAGTGCCTGTTCCACATCGTTGGCTATAGTTTTGGAAACACAGTCTGTCATGTTTATGTTACGTTCCTGCTTTTGTTTCATTATAAATACACAGAAATGTTATACTGTCACCATCATCACTATCTTTAAATATATTGACTTTTGATCCACTGCCAGTCAGTTTATTTTTTCACCCTGATTTCGAAATGTTTGGAGGATTGAAAATGTCCTTTTTCTTTTCTCAGACAGAAAATCCTAACACAGAAAGACCATACACATTTAAGGATTTTCTGCTTCACCCACGAAGGTTAGCATGATTTATTGTTATTTACTCTTATTTCTTTCCCTGTTTACATTCCATTTTTATTGGCATGAGAAATTATAGTCCACAGTTCATACTTTGTTTTCAATATTCCTGACAATATGTATGTCTTTCATGTTCAAAATGTTTAATAAATCTGTTGGTTTCACAGCCACAAGTCCAGGGTCAAAGGTCACCTGCGTCTCAAGATGACCTACCTGCCCAAAGACCCAGGTTCAGAGGAGGAAACGGTGGAGCAGACTGAGGACACGGATGTAAGTTTAGCACGTTCAACAAGGATGTATCTCCCATGGCGTTCATTAATATCACTCGTTGTGTTATTTTAAGTTTAGATTCTTCCTACTGTTGATAATAGATCAGCTGCAGCCTCAAATGAACTTGGACTAATAAATAGATTTTAGTTCCCTGTCACTCTACATTTCTATGAGCTAAGAAATAAACCAGGTATTGGCTAAAATCCAATTGTAGGCAACCTCATTTTCAATTGTTTTTTTCCCTTGGTGTTGTTTTTTTCTATAGTGTCATTTACAGCAATTAATAATGATAGTGTATTGTTTTGCATAATCACACATGACAATCACGGTACTGCAAATTGAATATCTCCACAAATCAACCTACAAAGCTGAAATAAAATATCAAGTGTACTGTATTGATTACCTAGCTGAGAAGTTTGAGGGGTTCAGCTTGTAGCCTGCTGCTCTTCATTTAACACCTCAGTGTGGCCACTTCTGACTCTTCTGATCCTGCATTATTTCAAACTGAGCCGCAAAACACATCTAGATATGGTCCTCGTTTATTTTGTTGACGCATTTTTGATCAACGGAAGTGGTCAAAAGCTCACAAACACATTGCATTCCCTGTGACTACTTGTGTTTCAGCAGTCAACAGCTTTGAATTAAAAACTAATCAGAGATAGTGAGAAATGTCAGATTTATTTACAGCCACTTATCGAGCATTCATTCTTGGAATGTCACCGAAAGACAACGAAATGAATTTACTGCAAATATATGAATATTTCAATACTTTGATTTGTTGGCATTATGCTCAGTCACTATTAGGCTGTGAACAAATGCGATACCTCATCAGAGATAGTGATTTTGTATATGAAATTCTTACTAACTATTACTTTAAGACCATTGACATTAAGATACTGTACATGCTGTGTGTACCGCCTTTTTAAAAGTTCTGTTTGTGTCGTGCAGCCCAGTTGGGAGTATCTGGAGGCTCAGGACATGTCGGGTCCCAGGCAGAGCCAGCTGCTGCCCGCTCTGCCCCCTGGCTGGGAAGAGCGGCAGGACAACCTGGGGAGGACCTACTTTGTCAATCATGAGAGCAGAAACACACAGTGGCAGCGGCCCACAGTCCTGTAAGACCCCCCCCCCACCCCCTCATCAGCAAAGCTACAGCACTTTTTCTTGTTAGGGCAGAACTGACTGTGTGTGTGTCTGTGTGTGTGTCCTAAACAGGGACGATGACCTGCAGATACAAAGAAGACAGAACAATGATATGGACGTGGAGCAGGCTTTTATTACACGCAGACAGATCTCAGACCACGATGAGAACACCACACGAGAGTCTCCTGAGGTCCGTTTATTACTGTTTTAAAAAATGCACTTTTGGTGAAGGAAGCGGGGGAACAATGGTGGAAGGATGTTCTGCAGCCAGGTTTTGCAATGTTTTAGCAATTGGTCCTGGCTTTTCCTCTGAGGGTTTGGCATAAACACTAATACACACTAAATAAATAACTTTGAGATTTACACTTAACAAACCTTACTAAAAACTAAAGTGTATTACTTAAACTAACAAATATATTTTTTCCAGGTTTTGTACATGTAGGATCCTAATTGAGTTTTTGTGGTCATTTCTATGTGATTATAATTTCAGTACTTCTAATTATTTTAATGAAAGACGCTTGTTTACATAAAAAAGTGCACATTTCTTGCTTGACAGCGCAGTTAGTGACGCAATTGTCATCGGATATAAACTTGGACCTTTCCCCTATACTCCTCCACTTTCTTGACGAGTCTCTTTTGTCTCCTCTTCTAGAGCTGGGAGATCATTACAGACGACGAGTCCACCTTGTACCACAGCAACAGCAACAGCCAGGTCATGTCACCTCCACCCCACGGCCCTGAGGAGTTCCTCCCATTTCGTGAAGATCTGAGAAATTCCCTTGTTTCTGCGTCCACAGCTGGCGAGCTGCGAGCCAACCAGGCGGTGAGTCATATGCTGTTCAGCAATGGGTCTGATTTCTGGAAAGTCAGAGGAAGATCGATTCCTAATAAAATGAATTAGAAACATACACTTAATACAGAGAGAGAGGGAGATAAGTGGAAGTGATATAACATTAATAGTCAAGTGTCTCTGTAGTCTTGACATCCTTCCTCTGCCCTGCAGGATCATGCAAGTAATTCAAGCCATTCCAGTCGCAGAGGAAGTGCCCAGACTTCAACCAGAGAGGAACATCCTGTTAATCCTGTGGTGAGTATCTCACTCCCTTTTTGAAATCGCTCCTTCCTCCACTCCTTGCGGTGTGAATGGACAGTTGTCAGCATTCAGAATTCACGTGGTGTTTTCTTCCTTTCCTGTGTGGAAGTTAGGAAATATTTTCAGTGACTTAATGTGTCCCAATATTGGTAATGGGTTACTCCAAGAGCTTGAGGTTTTCAGTATTGATCCCCTAATTGATGTTATGTCATTCAATAGCTGGTTCCTACCTCGACTGGGCTGCCTGCAGGCTGGGAGGAGAAGAGAGACAGTAAAGGAAGACGCTACTTTGTTAACCACAACAGCCGAACCACCTCATGGACGCGGCCCCTCGTTCAGGTACAAAGTGTTTTCTGGGGGGATTGTGTGTGTGTCAATATGTGTACATGTCGGTCTGTCCGTCCATAGCTAATCTAGTATCCTGCTGTACCCATCAACCTAGCTTAGTTAGTGGACATTTCTTACTTTATGAATGCACAAGGACCTCTTAAGGTTTTGATGTTAAACAACTTTTGAAAAACGTTTTAATTGACTGTTTTCTATCGTCCTTGACTTCTTGATTCACTCCTCTCAATTAATTGTTAGTGTCCTCAAGTTATGTACAACTGCTTCATTAGCATTTTCAGCAATCGGCTAATTTAAAAACAAGCCTCAGCTTCTCTGTTGAAGGCCAGATTTTGGCCTTGGTTGTGGCTCAAAAAAGAGATTTTGGTTTAATTGTTAATGAAACATATTTTTCCATTTCATAAATGTAATGATCCACTAAAGTTGGGCATGAGAAAGGTGAACGCAGTTGTTGCTGCCATCTTACCTGTGGACGCCTGGCAAGATGTGCACTGTACTTATTGCCATTTTCTAGTTATTATTGATACTGAATGATAGCAAAATGATGAATACTGAAACTCAACCGACACTTGTAATCACAGTTCTTTCTTACTTCTCCATATAATATTTGTTGGACAGAGGACCCAAGAAGCCCCAGCCGTGGCCCCAGCCATGGCCCCAGCCGTGGCCCCAGCCGTGGCCCCAGCTGCAGCACAGATTGGTGCAGGGGCTCGTCAGAGCGCGACCCCGCCCTTACCCCCCGTGTCTCCTGAAGAGTCTCCTCAGCAGACCCCGAGCCCCGAGGCATCTCAGGACTCTGCCTTCCTGCCGGCCGGTTGGGAGGTCCGCAGCGCTCCCAGTGGAAGACCTTTTTTCATCAACCACAACACTAAAGCTACTACCTGGGTGAGAAAGCAGCAGACATTGGACGTGCTTTTACCAGTTACTTTAAAGGCACACTGCTAAATTACTGGTTTGCGGTTTGTTAACACACCATTGAAAGCTCAAGAAGCTAGAAATTGAGATAATCCTGCATTTTTCCTACTTTTAATGCAGATGCTCCCAAGGGAGCCACTTAAGAAAAACAAAGACCATGTGAAATTGTTTCCTGTTTTGCTGAAACACACCCTGTTTGTTTTCCTCCGAGCAGGATGATCCCAGGCTGAAGATCCCTGTGCAGGCGAGGAGGCGACCCTCACTCGACCCATCTGATCTCGGCCCTCTGCCGGTAAGTTGTTACAGAAACTGTGTAACAAAATCGGTTGAAAGACATAATCAACTTTTTGCTTTGGATCTCATGCAAACATCTTCCTTTATTGCTCTGCGTGGAATAATTAATGATATTTTTGATATTTAATGATAGACCAAAGCTACTTATTAAAGAATGTGATGTGTTCCTCCTTTCTAGCCTGGCTGGGAGGAGAGGGTCCACACCGATGGGAGGATTTTCTACATAGATCACAGTGCGTATGACATTCAATACTAAGATCACATCTTGGACAAAATAATGTCTGGAGGGGTGAAGGGGACCACCATGGGACCTTATTTTGGACAAACATATGTATATCAATGGCGAGTGACACGTCATTATGTGTACCCTTTAGAAATGTGCCAATAATCACACGTGATGTTTGTAAAAATTAAAAGAAAAAACTCCAAATCATCAATTTGCGATTACTGTAAAAGTCTGAAAACACATGGACTACACACCGAAAGTCGAGTAAATGGGTCAAAACTTCTTTTCCCGCTGACGCTGCGCAGCTGTGTGTTTTATTCCTGAATAAACTCACACAAACAGCGAATCTTGCTCATTCTCTGGCTTACCAGCTCATTAAATGACCTGGATTAGGGGGAAAAAACGCACCTGGTAAGATAACGTTACAGCTGTGCGCGGAACAAAGCTCAGTTACCTAGTGTTTGTTACATTGTTGTTGTTAGGATTATGCAAGGTGAGATTCTGTACAGAGCTAAATGCTGCTCAACCCGTGACTTTGCAAAATTATCTTCTTTAAGTGTGAGTCACAGGAAAACTCAAACAGGATCAAAAGTCGCTGGCATACATATGTGTATATGAAATAAGGTCTGATAGTGTAAGGGCAGGGACTCCTCTATGTTTCAGTATTAATAATTGGCCTATTATATTCCACAGACACCAGGATCACACAATGGGATGATCCCAGATTACAGAACTCGGCTATAACCGGACCAGTGAGTATACATTATATTTTACGATATGACGTAACACGATATTAGCACATGAAAAAGCACACTCCTGTAAATATGTATCCTTGATAACAGTGTTAAGATTAAGATGGATTTGACGCTGAACGCTGTCCTTTGTTGATTACAGGCAGTGCCTTATTCCAGAGATTATAAACAGAAGTATGAATACTTCAGGAAGAAGCTGAAGAAACCGGTGAGTGTCCTCACAGCAACTGGCATTGGTGTTACCTTCACCTCAGATATTACTTTGCCACTTTGTTAACTTTCTTCTTAATGAACGCATTACATTTGTTCTTAGGCTGACATCCCAAACCGCTTTGAGATGAAGATGAGACGAAATGCAGTTCTGGAGGACTCGTACCGACGCATCCTCTCCGTGAAGAGGGCCGACCTGCTGAAGGCCCGGCTGTGGGTGGACTTTGAGGGAGAAAAGGGTCTGGACTACGGCGGCCTGGCCAGAGAGTGGTTCTTCCTCATGTCCAAGGAGATGTTCAACCCGTACTACGGCCTGTTCGAGTATTCTGCCACGTGAGGCCACACACTGCATGTTTTATACCTCCAGATATGGTCTCATTAAATAACGAGGAAAAGAGTAGGAAAGTGCTTTGGGGGATTTTTTTATTATTCAGTGGGTTCGACATTTCCATCTAATGTTGTTTGCTCTGTCTATTTTTTACCATTAATATCAAGTGTGTTTTATTTCGATCTTATTTCACAATCCCTTTTATGTTATATTCCTGTTTTTAGGTTCATTTTAGGCCTGATTTCCCCTATTTGAAAGATCTTTGTGCTGCATTAATTGTATAATAAGTGCTATGCAAATGTTCTTTATGATTATAAATGATATTTACAGTAAATGACTGACGCTCAGGACAGACAGTGTGGGTCTAGATACAGTGATCATCTCAAATGTGTGAAAGGGAGAATGGTTTTACATTTTCATAATTTATGATGATTTATTCAGGATTGAATCTGCATAATAGTGGACAATTAAAGCTACACATAAATAACTGTAGTTGCTTTTTTATAGGAACCATGAAAGGCAATTTAGAAAGCTTTTTATTTCTGTTCATACTTTTGTTATGATCTTTCCTCCAGGGACAACTACACATTGCAGATTAACCCTAACTCAGGTTTATGTAACGAGGACCATCTGTCCTACTTCAAGTTCATCGGCCGCGTGGCGGGCATGGCCGTGTATCATGGCAAACTGCTTGATGGTGAGTGCCTCTTTGTATACATATGTGACCCGCTCTATCGAAATCAGTCGGAAGTCGCAACGGCTCATTTCAAAATAAACGTGGATTTGTGTAAAAAAATAGATTCGGGGTTCGGGTGTTTTGTTTGATTTTAAATAAACAAAGTCTTGGCTTTCAGAATATGAAACTTTTCTTTCCAAAATCACACGATAAATACATTTTTGAAGCTTGTAAAGAGAAGATGACGGCTCTCGCTCGCCACTCGGCTGTTCCGCAGCGCTGCCCCCCCTCCCTCCGGCTGAAATTTTGAATGTAAGGCATATAGTAATCATAGATAACACGGCAGGGTCCGTTAGTTTGTTTTCATCTGATTTCAATTAAACAAATTCTTGGCTTTCAGAATATTAAACTTGTTTCGGCAAATTCAGATGATAAATACAACTTTGAAGCTTGTAACGGCATAATTACAAGCGGAGAACGGAGTAACTTGACGTCACAGCAGGCAGAACAACAGCCGGTGTTTCTCGTGAGTGTTTTCCCCAGGAACACAATACACACAAACGCAAAATTACACAAACACACACACACACACACATAGATACATACATACATACACACATACATACAGACACACTCGCGAGCTTCCCCCAGACCAGTAATCCAAATTAAAATATCTTCCCTCCGTAGTATTTTAATCATTTGCTCCGCTAATAACCAATTAGATCGATGGATTCCAGAGAAGAGAAAACTTTGAAGGCCTTGTTCTCAAAATGATGACTCGGTGACGGTCATTATATAATGTGACATATTTTGCTTAATATTTGGAGCACAACAACAATCCTGATATCATTAGAAAGCTAGGAATCTCCTCTTTCCAGTAGTGTATACAACTCAAAATGTGTCTTCGGGTCAATGCGACTGATTTCGATGGAGCAGGTCACATATTGCCAAAGGGCAAAGAGAAGATCAAAGGGATTGGAGAAATGTGATTTCATAGAGCTTGACTCTTTTTGTGTGTGTGTTATTTAAAGCTTTCTTCATTCGGCCGTTCTACAAGATGATGCTGCAGAAGCCGATCACTCTGCAGGACATGGAGTCTGTTGTGAGTGTCATACTGCTGTAACTAATTAAACCCCCAATATGTTGTCTTCTGAGGCTAGGGATGACACAATAAAACAATAACGAAAGACAAAGTACACCAATATGGGAGTTGTTGTCTCGTTGCACTCAGCTAGCCCTGTTTAAGATGAATTCATTCTTCATCCATTTGGAGGTCCTTCAGAGCCAACATATCTGCAGACGCCTCTTCCTCTCGTAAACAAATTGACTTGGTGATTAAAAACAATAAAGAAAACACTGAATAAAGCAGCTTCACATTAAAAGTCATTTTACTCTAAAGCTGTTTTTACTTATCTTATAACTTAAGATCCAGACGTCCAATGACTATCATCCTTTAGCGCATATCATATAGTAGTTTTTAAACTCACACATTACACTTGTGATTGAACACCTTGAATGAGACAGTATGAAAGACATTTTGATCGTTGTCTTTTCAGGACAGTGAATATTTCAACTCCTTGATGTGGATTTTGGAGAACGACCCGACAGACTTGGATTTGAGGTTCACCATCGACGAAGAGCTCTTTGGACAGGTGTGTTCAAACACAGTCTTTCCCTGTAAAACGTCAACTTTCAACCATTTGTCATACGTGTGTTTTCTTGTTTAATTTTACATGATATATCCCGTTCTTCATATTCAGACTCACCAGCATGAACTGAAGCCGGGCGGCGCAGAGATTGTCATCACTAATGAAACCAAGAAGGAATACATCCAGTAAGCAACAGAGAGAAAACAATTCATCTCCAAATTGTTGGAAAGATGGTTTGACGCTAACCTGCTGTTTTGTGTTTCTAACAGTCTGGTGATGCAGTGGAGGTTTGTGAACAGGATACAGAAGCAGATGACTGCTTTCAAAGAGGTAACAACTATTCACACATTTTTATAAAAGAGTAGACAACAAGAAACCGTATAAAGTAAGAATGAGAGTCATATAAATGTAGTAAATTAAATAAGTAATATTCAAAGTGTAGTGAGGTTGATAGCACCAATATGTACGGTAGTTTTCTTTCCCCATTTCATTTCATGTTGTGCTACTTCAAACGGTTTGTTACAATTATTTTTGTTATGTGTATTTTTTAGGAAGCTTGAATTTGGATAGGTTCTTGAGACACACGGTGCTGTCTGCCTTCACTTTCGCACCACGGCGAAAGGAAGTAGGCAGGTGTCCGTCGGCGTCCCCAATGTGTGGACCTATGACTTTCGTGTCGGACCAAAGAGACGGAGAAGTCGGTGTTAGAGTACGTTCATTCAGGCAAGTCGCGAAGTTTATGTCAAGTTCTGACTTATAGGTGCGTGGCAGCTTCGGGAACACGCAAGAGCTAGCCGCTACACTTCAAAGGAGGGAGTCGAGGAGTTTTCTGACGTATCCCTCCGCCAGGGTCCGGCTACACTTCGAAATGCTCCCATTTCATTTTGTCACTCGTTAGTTCTTCTTTTAGTGAAAAGGTTCTTTTGTCTTTCTCATCCATGGAGTTCGACGTTAAACCAGTAAGTGTTAAGATTTCCCTGCAAACCTGACAAAAAACATAGGTCGCACTCGTAAACCATAAGCCAAATATGGTGTTCGTCCTTGTAACGAAACTAAGGAACGCCATACCAGACAGGCGATAGAATTTTCATCCTCCACACGACTGGCAGGTATTCCCCAACTCCCTCCCCAGCGTGTTATGTCTAAGTCGTTTCACTGAGAATCTCCTCCCGCCCACAACGCCTTCGTTTGCGCTCTAAATTTCCTCCTACGTAACTGGCGAGACTACACAGGCCGTGACTCCGGATTTCCTGTCAAGAGTTTTTCATCTGCCCTCCTCGCGTACTGAACGTAGGGCCCGTGGTCCACCGGAAGTCCGTCGTGACCGGTGTCAATGTAGTGTAGAACATGACCCAGCCAAAATAAATAAGTAAGTAATTAGTTAATGTCCTTATGAAATTTTTCTTTTTCAAATCAGAGCGTTTTTTGACTAACTTTTCCCTAGAAAACGTGTGGTTCTTATGTGTCTAATAAACTAGACGAGGGTTGTTAGGATTTCGGTGTGTCACTTTATTCTTTTTATCTTTTGTTTATATGCGTCTACCAAAACACAAACTTAATTCCGAAAAACTAACACACATACGAGAGTATCGAACTAACACCACCCGTATCAGTTTACGAACCAGTTTGAAAATAAAACTTTTCGTGAAAATGTTTACTTCAGTAGAACTATAATACATAAACTCTATAAGCCGTTTTACAAGACCAGTTCTTCAATTCGACATTAGAGGAGCAATGTTGGGGGGAGGATTCGTATTGGTTCGTGTAGTCATCCGTTCCTGTCCGTTGCTGGTCTCTCTCCTTTTTCCCTTCGGTCACACAAAAACCCGATTTTGAAGAGGTTGGAAAATTTTACAGTCTTTATCCTTATGTTAGTTTTACAATTCTCAACGGTGGTACACACCCGAGCCCCTCAAAAAGTGCACAAGGGTGCCGAGGCTACCGCCTTGTCGCACGCCAGGCAACGCGGCACCTTTTTGTTTGCAGTTGTAGTCTCGTTTGTGTCGTCGAAATAGACTTTAGTAAGGTTATTTTTTCTTTCTTTTTTATGCTCAAAAAGCTTGTAGGACACGTAATTATCTTGCGGTGCTCGACACCGGCGTCACCAGACAAAATGAAAATTTGCTAATATCTCCCCTGTGCCTTCTCTTTTAGATGTGATTTGACCTTTTGAAACAAATGTTACTATGGCGTAAACCGGTTCAAAGTATCGACAATAAGTAATATAAAGTAAATTAAGCAAATAAACTTATGTCCTGTTACGTGTAATTACTTCGTGAATTCTGTGTTTTACCGGAAGTTCACATGTTATACGCGGCCTAAATGCGAAACTCCGATTAAAGGTACGGCATCAGGCAGTGTACCGTTGCGTATATTCTTGTACTGTAAATTGTATCCGGTTTTATTATGACTATCACGTTTTTCTCGTCTCGTCGTATGTGTTCATAACAATACTGTACCATTATGTTATATCGTCGTCGCTGTATATTTACAGCGTTCTCTACTATGTTCTCGGTGGATCTTACGTTCTCTCTATGGGGGACACAATTTCACGTAATCCGTCACTAATGTCGCAGACAAACAAAAGGTTCGGTAGATGAAACTCAACGGAAAAAATTTTGATACCTACTTCACTGTTAGGCATAGACGTCAACCCTGCCCGATAAGGTCTTACTCGACGGAAATTACCCTCTCGGCTAAAAACAGTTTTCACCAGGCGAGATTGCCACCGCTGGAGTGTCAAGAGGAGCACCAAAGGACTCGCCGGTGTATCACCGACGTGCTAGGCAACACACAAACAAACACCGCTACTTAAAGGGAAATTACATTTGTGAAATATCTTTTTCCGCATGAAAAATTACATGAATGTTAACAGTTTATGAGTATATTATACACCCAAAAAGTCCTACCCATCGTGCACGCATGAATCACTTATTCGCGAAAGACAAGAGTTTCGTGTTCAACTATCGAGAGAAACTATGTCGACGAAGATAACGCAAAGTCGCAATCTCCGGTGGCTTCGTTTGCTGCGTCACAACATGTTTGTCTAATAAGTTACACCACAAAGGGCGTGGTATCTCGCAGTTCGTCTCGGTAAGTAGACCGTGGGGGAACTACAAGGGGCACGGTGTCTGACACTTCGTCGGGACTAACGGAGGCAGAACGGCAGGAAGTGCTCGGTGCGCAGATTTTTGTGTTTGTCGTTATATCACTAAACTGTTCGAGAAGGATCTCTCCGGCTTATTTGGAGACTCTCGTACCGTGTGTTAGACGCTACCCAGCGCCCGTCTACTTTCGGACAGAATGAAAAGGTTTTGCGTGCGACTCTATCTGCCGCACCAACCGCCGTCATCGACAAGAAACATGAGACCACAAGAGAAGAGGTCAGCAAGGTGTAGCGGGGTTGGGCAGAGGGCTCGCGTGTGTACTCGGGTCGACACCTCCTGTTCTGTTCGTCCTTCTGTCTTCGTAATAACGTAGAAAGACCCGTTGGTCAAAAAATATCAATGTTACCGGTCGGTTAACCCGGTCTAATTTGTTTGAGTTGCGAGGTCCGAGCGAAGAGTAGTTTCTAGGAACTACCGCCAAGGACCTCATTTAGTTGAGTTGTCTTAGGACTCTGACGTGGTGTCGTTTCTTATAGGTTGTCATGTAAAATATAAATGTGTGGAAATTTGTACGTTCCCAACTCTCAAAACCTACGTTGTTAACAAGGGCCAAAAATATTACAACGCATCTTATCAATAATTAAAG